TGTTTCTTTTTGTGTCCAAAAGGTGTGTATAATGAATAACTAGTAAACAATGATGTATTTTATGCGGTTTTATGTGAAAGGCCAACCAAGTAGCTCACAAACTGTGATTTTCCAAATGTTTATTTTTCTGTAGAGTGTGGCTTGCATTTGGAATCAGCTCAACACATCCAGTACTCAGAAGAGCCGCCTTACTCAGCAGTTTGGTGCATCAACTAACTGGGTTGTTTTTCAGCTGTTATTTGTGTCTCTTAACTTGTTTAATCTATATTTAATGTGAGATTTTCTCAGATCTCACGTGTTGAAAAGCCAACTTGCTGAATAAATGCAACCACTTTCAGTAGTAAAAGATCATTCTTTTCCAGTGACGTCATGACATCAGAACTGCAATACTTACTGTTTTGCATGTTCATTGTTGTGTAAATAACATCAGGAGAATCTATATTACTGACTTACTATGACTACATCATTTGCGAAAAGTGTAATTTCACCCCTCCCCAATAACTAATTTCAGATATTTCAATCTATTTGTACTAAAATAAACTTGTAACGCTTCTTACGCTTATAAACTGCAAGGTAGCTTCATTCTCTCAAATCTGAGGGGAAAATTTAGGGATGGCACCAAGGATCTCAAAGACATGGGTTAGCACTCTTTGGACTGGCATGTACAGAGTCCTGAACTTATTTCAACAAAACACCTTTGGGATTAATTAATTCTCGCAGCAGAAAGGTTCCCATAAACACACTCCTAAACCTGGGGAAACGTTTCCCTGGGAACCTGAAGCTTTTTTTTAGCCACCCAGTTCATAGAATTAGCCATTTGTCTTTCTTCATGAGTAAACACATCAGCGTTTGATTCTTCTGAACATTCATTTTAGGGGGTTTTATTCTCAATTTACATTTGGCTGACTTTAAACTGTTCTTATGCAAAGAGCTGTCGTCCAATTGTGTGTTGCTTTCTTTATGGTTACTTTAATTCTCCTTCTCATGTTTTAATGGTTGCTCTCCAGTCTGGGTGGGATAATATTGCTTTGCAACACTGTGCATTAAGATCTGATATATTAACTTTCTGAATCCTCAGTGTTTAACTGAGTCGAGTAGCTGTTTTTGTTTACAGACCCAAATAGAGTTGCATTTTCTACAAAATGGTTATAATGCTACAGTGGTTGAATGAATTTGGCCAAAAATAGAAAGATTGTTGTTAGGAAACCTCTTTTCCTGGATAAAGTCAGAACATCTATACTGAAAATGGTTCTCAAGTAATGTAATATCAATCACATGCAGTCAGTGAGAAGTAATAATTTGAAATGTAAATCTATTCACTGGCCACTTTATAAGGTGCAAAGTTCAAACTCTGCATCAGATCTGGGAAGAAAGGACGTTTAATTAAATTTTGCTCAGCATGGTTGTTGGAGCCAAACAGGCATTTTTCAGGAGCTACTAATATGCTGGTCTGAAAAATATAACTCATCCAGTCAATTGTTATGTGATGGAAATTGGCTTTTTAAGGTCAGAGGATGCCAGGTTATCTGTTCAAGGTGATGGAACGATAACAGTAGCTTAAATAAGGATTTGTTTTAATGAAGGTGCGTTGAATACTAACTCCGGATGCAAAACACTTTAAACCATGACACACCAGGTTCCACGCTTTCAGCTAATGGCAAGAGACAGAATATACAATTTACACAGACTCAACAAGAAAAACGTTCCTAATTCAGATAAGTCTCATTGTTTACTGTCTGAGCTTCATGCTAACCTCACATGAGTGATGTTGCTGACTACATTCCTGCCTGATGATGGAAAGGGAGACTCGCATCATCAGAAGTGCAGCAACCGTGTGACGAATACCAATCAAATTCTCTGACGGACTCCTTCCAACACCTTGTTTAATCTATATTTAATCAATTTCTGCAAGATGTTGGCTGAAATATCACTGCAGTAGATTCCCCCACCTTACAATGTTCAAGACCTAAAAGGTCACAGAGTGAAAACATTGCGGTGACCTATGAGAAAGAGAGCAGTGAGAAAAAACCTATCACATTATTTTCATTACATCATTTAACAACATTTTTGACATTGCACTATGTTCTAATAGCAACTGCAGTATTGACATAAGTTTTTATACTTATTTTTTGGGAGTAACTAAGCGAGCATTGCTCTTATAGCTTTGGATCCATGAATTTATTTTGATATTACTGCAGTTCTTCATGCCTGTAAGAAATGTTTGTTTTTTTTAAGAAAAACATAAATGCTTAATTATGCAGGTTTCATTCTGCAATGATCAGCCTTGGATTAAGTCAGGAATCTGAGCAATTGTGTATTCATAAAAATAATTTTAAGTTGTTTATTTACCATTGTTTGTGTATTATTTGTAGTTTTTGGTCAATTAAATCTCAAGATCTTTATCGGTCTTGATTACATGGAATAAAATGGCTTCCTCTGATGCCATAAATGTGTTGGCACTGCATTTATGACTAGCCAAAAACAGAGTTGCTGCTGATGTTAGTTACAAAGATTGATTTTAATGGACAGAAACGTAGTGCATAGCAGTTTTACTCCTTTGGGCAATATTTATAAGAAATAAGTTCTGTTCCTTTGCTTTTCACGCAGCAACCTGCAGCTTAAGACCAAGAAAGATAAAATAATTGAGGGAAAAGTCGTACGGAAGACGGGGTCGGGGAGCAAAGCATGGCAAAGGAAACAGCAACAACATCTTTATGATTTCAAGTTTACCTTTGTCAGCACTTCTGAAGTTTCCTTGTTGTTTTTTATGCACACTGCCCAGAAGAGAGACATTGATTTCATCTAACATTTTATTCTGGTATTACTATAAATGATCTTGAAAAACACGTTCCATAAAAAGTCTTTATTAGAGGCAAGTGGATTTTACAGCCGAATTAAAACGTGCTCTGAACCGAACATTTTTCTCCCATCTACTTCAGCAGGAATTTTTAAGGCTAAATCATGCATGGATGTTTATGTTGTTCTTCTAAAAGTATAGTACAGACTCTTTCACAAAAGAATATAAGGTTTGACCAGATTTTCCAGTAAAACAGATCCAGTTGAGAAGCAATCAGATCCAAAGTACCGGCCTGTAGATGCTGAGGTTCTTTGAATGTTTAGTTTTTGGTACTGGTAGTACACTGGAGGTCTTCCACAGTTGTGGCACTTTCCTGGATTCAGGCTCAGGTTCACCATGTATCCCATGATGCCACACAGTTGGTCTTCAGCCCACCTCAGGAAACTGCGGCTGACGCTGGACCTAGTTCAGATGGCGTCGATGTCCAGGATGTAGCCAGCTTCTCACCCAATGATTGCTGGTGATGGGCAGCAGCCTTCCCGCGATGGATGGATGGATGGATGGATGGATGGATGGATGGATGGATGGATGGATGATGGATGGATGGATGGATGGATGGATGGATGGATGGATGGGTGGGTGGGTGGGTGGATGGATGGATGGATGGATGGATGGATGGATGGATGGATGGATGGATGGATGGGTGGGTGGATGATGAAATTAAATTGAATTCTACTGAACTGGATTTCTACTTTATTCAAATGGGGTAGAAGTTCACATGTAATAATTCCCCTGAAGACTCGACTATGGGATGAGCTCAGGCCTGGAAATGAAACCAGCAAATTTTTATTGATTACTTGTCCGAAAGGTCACAACAAAAGTGAGATTATCAATAGCACCAGCACCAGAGGCCTGGTTTGACCAATGGCCATGGATAAAAATAAAAATAAGCACATTATACAATGTTATCGTCTTCTCAATCCCCGAAACTTTGGGGGAAATATTCTGACCAACAAGGCAAAAGTAGAATGTTTTTCAAGCGGTGCATCTTATTAAATCAAATGTTGAACTAAGACAGCATTTCAGGATATGACTTGATATGATCCAAATTAAACATCTAATAACCTCATTAATGAATAATTCAGTATTTTCTATTAAAATCTCACTTTCTGAGTGTCCCTCACTTTTCCGGACAGCTGTTCATTGAATCTACTTGATGCCTGGTGAGTGTATTTCTGGCGACTTTTGGAAATGCAGCAATTAATCTGAGATCGTTTAGATGATCAGTGCTCATATTTTGGCAGGCCAGATCCTCAAATGATTCATAGATTAAAGAAGAGATTCAATCACGCCCTCATTTTTCAAGCTGCCCAGTCAAAGCATGTGTGACTCAAGATTTTCATGTTAGAAGATCCCTTTATTAATTTAATGGGAAGGTGAAGACAGGAGCTTTATGTGTGTAGAGAATCTTAACATGTGTCGCAGCGGGTTCTGCACGCCCTCTGATGATTTCACCCCGGTGCTAATTGACAAGGTCGGTCTCCAGGGAGAACTTTAATTCTCTGCCGAGTACGGGCGCCATTAAACTGCAGTGACATGAGATTAATGCTCACGTCGTTAGTGACATTTGCTTTCTCATTTTCTGTAGAAACTGTCTTGCAATACCATCCGCTGAGGTTTGTTGTGAAGGATGAGCTTCAGAGGCTCTTTCTAAGGAATGTGCAGTGACAATAAGAAAAATGTTAGATGTGCTGTTTAAACAGGAAGGCAATCTGGCTGAGTAAGGGACATGCCACAAAAACCAGGCCATCAGCAACACAGCACTGTGAACTTTAAAACTCTGGTTTACAAGGCAGATCATGAATTTGCTTTGTGGTTGATAAACGACCGTCCTCAGCGTTAGTGATCAGGCAGCGGAAGAAGATGCTGCACAAGAAATAGCAAGCCCACGGCTATAAAGATTCGTGTGGAATTGCAGGATTTATTTTAAAGTTTGTCGTATAAGTTGCTCTGAGATATATATATTTTTTATGCATGTTGGAATTTATTCACGCTCTTACGGTGCAAGTCAAAAGTCTACGACATGCTTACTGATCCATTTTTAATGAATGACTATTTCCAAAGCTGCTGTGTGCTTTATGAAACATTCTCTGTTCTTTTCAGACTCTTAATTTTGTGTCTCTTACCTCCTATCTTTTCACAGGGGTCCTGCGAGCAGCACCTCACCTCAAAGGCACCAGCCTGTGTGTCGGCGTGTACATTTACACACACCTCTGCAGGTGCTGGCTCGCACTATATGTGTACGTGAGATGACGAGAAGCTAAGTGACTACCACAACCACATAGATCAGACAGCCCTCTGTGCTGCAAGATGGATTAAAGGCCCACACCTCAGGAGATCAAAGGTAGGAGCTGATGTTTTGTAATCAGCAGCCACTCACCTGTTCTTTTCAATGACTGCATGAGGAGAATGAAGCGGGGAGAGGAAATGATGAATAACAATGAGTTTAAGGACGAGGTCTTCCTGCCATCTGTGAACTTTGGGTTTTGACGTTGACGCCTGTCAGCTGTATGCATGCGAGACGAAGTAATGAAAGTTTTAAGAGTTTTAAAAGTGCTGCTAAAGCAACATTGGCAATAAGGTTTCCTCCTGCTGCTTCAGGAAGCAATTTAAACCCGGCTTTAATAAACCGAAATTATGTCAGAGTCTAACCAGACAGTTACAGGTTTGCCAAAGACAGTCAGTCATACAACCGTTCTGCGTTCGGTTTATCTTGAAAGCCAGAAGTCAGATATTCTTTGCATTGTGACGAGTGTATTGCATTTGCAAGCGAGGATGAGTTACAGCATTTAAACACTTAAATAAGACTTTCCCTCACAGATTCTATAAAATATTTTATGAATGACTAGTTTGATGTAGAGATGTACAAAGGAGGAATTGGCTGATGGCCGGACTGGTGATTATTCAGCTTGATTGGACTTGGCTGGTGTAAGTCCATATAAAAATAGGATCATTTTTTCAATAAGCTAATGTACCATAATAAACTCTACCAACTATTTGTGATACTTGGTGTAAGTAAGTGGCACAATTATTCAAGATGAATTTATTTTGAGTTAATATGAAGTTTTAGAACCTACGTTCTTACGTAGGTAAATAGTTCTTGCACGTTTGGAAGAATCAGTGTGAGTAAAAATGGCAGAAAGAGAGCGGTGTCCCTGGTGAAACCTCTCCTGGTGGACAGCAATGGCTTTCAGTGTTAGATCCTCCATCTTGATAAACGCTCTGTCTGTTATTTTAAGGAAATGTTCAAAGGAAGCAAAAAAACAATGAACGATTTCCAAATTTAGTAAATAATCATTGAATTGTTGACTAAAATAGTCTTCGACACAATTTTCTATTACTACACAACCATAGTTGCATCAACAAGATATAAACTGAATTCAAAGGAAATTAAGGAAAACATAGGAGTCTGTGTTCAGGGTCATGGATGTTTGACCTTTGGATGAAAGATTCATTTACAAAAGAAAACAAAAACCTGTTTAATTGCCTGAACTTTTTCAGAGGAAAACGGGAGTCGGTTGATGTTTTGTGAAAGCAACAGTTTGGTTGATAATCTTTCAATAGGAGGAATAAAATATAAAAATGTAAAAAGAAAGAAAAAAAACTTGCTGTGTTGCATGATGTGAAAATTATGAGGAAGGCAGCACACCATGCAGTGCACTCTAATGCAGTGGAATCGATAAACAATTAGTTTGTCTTCGTGTTCATATGAAAGAAATAATTAATGGAAAATGGGAAGATTGTGTGTCTTGTTTTTAATGCTGTTGACAAAGGGTGACTAATTTGGCTCTTTGTAAAAGTGCTTTTATTCAGGTTGTGGCAGAACTGTTCTTACTTCCTTGAGAATAGTCCTCATGTGACTCATGTTGCCTTAAGATTTATTATTTAATAACGTTCCTGGGCACGTTGTGCTGTGATTGTAATAAGTGTTTTATCAAATGAAACATGGCTCTGCTCTGATCTAATGAGCTGGTCCCGAATTTGAATTTCCATTATTTTCCGTTTTGTTGTTTTTAATCCAGTTGGCTTGTTCAGTTACAGGAATTTGTATTTTCTCTAAATATTGCAGTTTTTTGTTTGCACCGCTGCTCTGCTGATTTTAAGTAACAAAATGTCTCTTTAATTTCAGTCTTGGTGTTGGAATAGTTAAGTCGCTTTTATTGGCAGCTGTAACATTTTTTATTTTCAATCAGCTGTTTGGAAGGAGGGTCAGAGGCTGAGTCAATGTTGCTGGTAGCATTGTAGCATAAAACATTACAATATCAAACGCTGTTTTTACAGCAATCGCTATGTTAAGTAGCACCGTGATGATGCCTCTGCTCCTGGCATGAATAATTGATGACTGCTCACAGCAGGGGGGACAGAAAGACATTCAGTGTTGTTGTCATGTCATCTTAAAATATTGAGCTTTTTCAAGATAAATTACATTCAACTAAAATAGGAGGGCTAACAAAAACTAGATTAGAAATTAGGTTAAAACATTCTTGCTGGTGAATCTGTGGATTGATGGGATAAATCATGAAAAGGGCAAATGAGGGTTATTTCTCAAGCTGCCTCGTTTTGCAGCCGTAACCGACTTGGAGACAATCCTGCCACTTACAACTCTTAATTCTAGATCCGTTCGGTGTTAGTTAATTTTTCCAATGTCTAATTCAGAAAATATGTCTTTGCATTGCAGCAAAGGCAGAGCAGCTGTTGCTGCTTCTTGGATCATCGGCTTTCTTACAGCATTTTGTTTGAAAGCACGGCGGCTTGTTGGCTGTGGGTGGCCATTCTGAACACTGCTCTTGCTGAGACACTTGCTTACTCTTTTCACTGCTCTATTATTCATGCGTTGGGAATACTGAGCAGTGAAGACATATTTGTTTTGCAAGGGACTGTAAAGTGTTGCACATTTTTCTCTGGAGATCATACCCAATTACTTAAGATGCATGTTGTGAAAGACAGTTTTAAACAAGTTACGTCTTCCTTCTGAGAAGTCTGCACAGTAAAGATGATTCTAAAGCTAATATTTGGAGTTGTGTGATAACACACTAAAATTATGCTTTGTTAGAGTTCTGTAAATCAGTCAAAATACAGGAAATAATCAGTATTAAAATGCAGTGTAGTCCCACAACAACTCGGTCCATCAGTCTCCCCTGTTCTCAGATGCTAACAGGTTATGCCTAACAGACTGCACAGGCTTTAAAGTGATAGAAAAATTGTTTACAGTGCAACTTCCCTGGTTATGTTCTCTTCATTTTGCCCAATTTCTAATGCCACTCTGGACAGTTGATGATATATGCACATATTCATGTTGTATAAATTGCAACCTAGAAACGTTCAAATATCTGGATTATGTGGTCAAACAGCTGACTGCTGTGAGAATTTATTTTCTGAAGCTGCAGGTCATTTCCGTAAAACAAAAGGTAGTGCACAACCATTAGGGTGGCGGCTTTTCAAAGCTGTCAGTGTTGTTTTGTGGTGAAACTGCTGAAGGAACGTTTTTCAGTTTGAGAGGTTAATTTGAGTGGAAAATGGCCACTATGTGAATTATCACTGGTAAACATCAGGGCCAACTTTTGAATTACTGCCCTCTTCTCCGGTTTTCTAAATGATTCCTAAAAACGTGTTGTTATTGTGGGCTAGAGAAGGAACCAAGCCAAGAAAAACAAACACCTCCACTTTCCTTCTTTAATTAGTTAGCTTCATTAGCAGACCATCTATACATGAGAGCCTTCCAGAGCACAACTCCTGGAAGGATTCCTGACAAAGCAATTTAGAACATTTTTAAGAAAATCTGGCAAGATTAGACACAGTTGAGGTAATGTAAGGACAAACGAGGGGTGACAACGAAAAGGTGACATCTTTTTCTCACTTAAATATTTCGCTGTAATTAAAGAAAAGAAAAACTTTTCTCCAACCTTCTGTTTTGAGAATGCTACATCCTAATTAGCCTAATAGCAAAGGTACTGATGAATTATGGTGAGCTTTCTTTCACCAAATCGTGAAATGATAAAAGCTTTTATTGAACTATTATTCCGTACTGTCTTTGTTAAAGAGGAGATATTTCCTGAACATTCTTTTGCTCACATTTTATCCATCCTTGTAATATATATCCATACATGTGTGTTGTTTTTTTTTTTTTTTACTTTTGCCGCTCACACAATTGGGTAACCTTGTATTTTTCTTTTAATATTGTCCAATTTTGGCTAAAACGCCTTTCTTTTTCTTTTTAAAGACAAGGATGCTCAATGAGTCTTCTGCAGTGTTTACTCCAAACTCTAAGCAAAGCTGTAATCATGGCTTTTGAATCTGTTTCAAGGCTGCAGTCTTTTGCTTTTGCTGGATTTTTTTTTTTTTTTGGCATAAAAGAGAAAAGCTGAAGGTCTGATCTGGTTCATAAGCCACTGTTTCACACCAACAATGTCAGATTACGCTGTGGAACAAAATTAAAAATATTTTCAAACTCTGAGAAAAGAAAGAAATGTGAAAGATGGTTATAAAATTATATATATGTTTCCTCAGAGTATTGCACATATACATGTAGCAGTACTGGCAGGTTTCATTACTTTTTAACTCAAAGTGATAGAATAACACTGTCTTACATGAGCAGTTTATAAAATATTACTTTTGACTAAAGGATTTAATATGTTCTTCCCAAACGAAAACGATCCTGGTTCAAAATCCAGCCCAGTTAAAGTTTGAGAAAAAAAAAAAAAACTATATACGAGTTCAAACTGGAATCATTTCTACCCTGATGATCTGTTTTTACCATGGCAGATGAAGTGAGAATGAAATAAAGATCGACCCCAGAAAAATATCCCAGGTTCTGGAAAAGCTTCCTGAGATGGGATTACACCTTTTCATCTCTCCTAAGTGCATAATCAATAGCGCTTTCCAAAAGAGCGACTTAATTCCTTTCTTTAGGGACGTAATAAACATGCAAACTGTTGTAGTTAGGCTTCAGTCAGCAGGGGAAAAAATCCACATGACAATGTTTTGCATAGCCTGGAGTGAAACCCTTTATGATACATAGCAACTGCACAAAAACAGGAAACAATTTCACAAACTGTGATGTAACGTTGTCCTTCTCTAGCTGGAATTTCTCTCTGATTCTCTGTGCCCTTTAACTTTTGCCAAAAAAAAAAAAAAAGAAGCCGCAGAAAACCTACTGAAACGCATTTCTTCTTCTTTTTTTTTCATTTTTCTTTCTTCCTTTTTCTTTTACAAAAAAGTGAGGACAAAGATTTGTCTTTATACCAGCTGACTGTTTTCAGGACTGAAATGCAGTGATATGGAGGTTCCTCCTTTGTGGCTACAGGACAAAAATCACAAAGCACAAACAACTGTTTAGTATTAGCA